GCCCCACGACGGGACCCAAAGAATAAATAAATAAATAAAAATAAAATAATAAAAATAAAAGTTGGACTTCCTTTAGGTTCTTCTTCCCTTCTTCCTTTGCTTCTTGAGGAATTGCTGTTCCGTTTTCTTTCCTCCAGTGTCATTGGTATCTGCCAGATGTGTAATATCAGCACAGATCTCTTCTAAGAATACTGGAATCCCGTATGTAGTTGTCTACTCAAAATCTCTATTTGGAGATAATCTAACAATCAAAAAAACTTGGCACACATTTTGACAGCTTTATTGAGATAAAATTCACATGTAAGATTCACTGTGAAAGTACACAGTTCAGTAATTTTTAGTATGTAAGAGATGTTCACTTATCACTAATTTCATATTGACCCAGAAGAAATCCCATACCGATTAGCAGTCATTCCTTCCTTCTCTCAGCTTCCAACTGCTAACCTCCTTTCTGTCGCTCTAGATTTGCCTATTCTGGACATTTCCTTTTCCTGGATGTTTTTACTTCATACTGTTTTCAAGATTCATCTGTGTTACAACATCAGTTCTTCATTCTTTTTCATGGTCAAATGTATTAATAATACTAAAGATGATAAACAAACATGACCTTGCTGATCTTACACTAAGGACAATGGAATTTGCATCAATAAAGAATATGAATAACAATCTGCAGAATATGAATAAAATGAATATGAATATAATGCCATAAATAGTTGATCTTGAATTGATTAACCAAGTTTTATTAATCAAACTTTTACCTTTTTTGGCGGGGGTGGGGGGGCTCCGGTTATGGGGCCTGAACTCTGGGCCTGGGCACTGTCCCCCAGCTCTTCAGCTCAAGGCTAGCACTCTACCACTTGAGCCACAGCACCACTTCCGGCTTTTTTTTTCTTTTTTGCTTATGTGGTGCTGAGGAATTGAACCCAGGGCCTCATGCATGCAAGGCAAGTGCTCTACCACTGAGCCACCTTCCCAGCCCAAACTTTTGCCTTTTTTGTGGGGGGGGGGGAGTGTTAGTCGTGGGGCTTGACCTCTGGGCCTGGATGCTGTCCTTGAGTGCTTGAGCTCAAGGTGAGTGCTGTACCTCTTGAGCCACAGCACCACTTCCGGCTTTTTTTTTCTTTTTTGCTTATGTGGTGCTGAGGAATCGAACCCAGGGCCTCATGCATGCAAGGCAAGTGCTCTACCACTGAGCCACCTTCCCAGCCCAAACTTTTGCCTTTTTTGTGGGGGGGGGGGAGTGTTAGTCGTGGGGCTTGACCTCTGGGCCTGGATGCTGTCCTTGAGTGCTTGAGCTCAGGTGAGTGCTGTACCTCTTGAGCCACAGCACCACTTCTGGTTTTCTGGTGGTTCATTGGAGATAAGAGTTTCACAGACTTTCCTGCCCGGGCTGGCTTTGCACCATGATCCTCAGATTTCACCCTCCTCAGTAGCTAGGATTATAGGCGGAGGCCACAGGTACCAGCCTTACCTTCTTTTTAAAAAACATAGTTTTACTGTTATTTTTAAGGTCTTGAACAAAGCATAGAGGGATTATCATTTCATAAGTTAAGTAATGAGTACTTTTTTTAGACAATGTTACTACTTCTTTGCTTTCCCCCAGTTATTTTTGCCTTCTTAAAAAAAAAAATGGTGAGAGCTGGGAATGTGGCTTAGTGGTAGAGTGCTTGCCTAGCATGTGTGAAGCCCTGGGTTTGATTCCTCGATACAAAATAAACAGAAAAACCCAGAAGTAGCATTCTGGCCCAAGTGGCCTTGAGCAAAAGAAGCTCAGGGACAGTGCCCAGCCCCTGAGTTCAAACCCCACATTCTGTAATATTTTACTATTGAAAGGTTAAGTAAGCTAATTTCTTTTGTGTGATTAGCTGCATCTACTCATTTTAAAGGCTTTATGGAATCCGTTTTGTGTAAAATATTTTATTGTTTTAGAACAATGGGTTTCATTCCTGAGTCATATTTTAACAAATTTTCTTTTCAAAGTTTGAAGTAGGCATCATTATTTTCAGTGAAAAATGTCTTTGTGTTTAAATTACATTACTTAATTACATTACAAAATGCCAAACTGTTAAGAGACAGAATTATATTTTCTTCATAATTTGAGGTTTGGTATTCATGGATGTAAGAAAGACCCAAATATTTACTTTGAAGATCTGTGCATAAAACTACATTCATTTCAATATGATCATCTAAATAAATCACCATCAGGATCATCTAAATGTTATTTTTAATTAGGATTCTAGACATTAGTCTTCATTATGAACATAACCATTTTCCTAGGTCGCTTAGGAATTTCCCAAAATGGATCAGTAGCTTTCTTTGTCATGAAAGAAGATTTATAAGAAAGTAATAAGTGGGCTCTTAAAGAAATTAAGCAATTTTGTAAGGGAATTTTTTTTTCTTTGGACATTAATATAACATTGTAGAATCTCCAATTCTCAAAGATAAAACCATCAGTAAAGAATATAAAGTCTGATTTAAAAGAATATGAAGTTGAACTTTCTCTATTTGATGAGAAGAATTTATGATTAATGTATGAATTTAAAATAAGAGGCTTTGATAGCAGACATGTTACATTTATCACTGTACTTTTCAAAGGAGTAGGTTTCTACCTATTTCATTAAGATGTAATTAAAGTTATGTTGATATGAAATACAGAGGGATATTGTGTTTTGGTTTTATGACATGTTGAAGTTGAGGTTGGCATAGACACTTGTTAGACAAGATGATCATTGATGGAGTTTTAAAAAATTCACCAAATGGAAGGGAATAAGCACTTATCAGAACAGAAGGAAATGTGTGGTTAAACCGTTTCTGCTATAACTGTAGACTACTTCCCTTGTTCCAAATGGGAGGAAGAATGGAGCTCTATATTTTGGGACATTCTTCCTTAGTATGACTAGAATTTGGTTCAGGATGGTTTATGTGTGTTTAGCATGGAGGGGAATGACATAAATATGTAATATGTAGTAAGAAGACATAAATTTATTTTTCAGGTGTCTCAGGTATTTTTTAGCATATTTGTAATTATTGGTAGTCAGTTCTTATTAAACTTCTCAAAAGAAAAACTAAGACTGTTTAGGAAACTTGAATTGAGTAAAGAAAAATGATGCCTCCAGCTTTTTTTTCTGAAAATGAGAAACTGTCTTACCAATTCTGTATCATATAGGTAATAAAAATGCCAGTTTTTAGCTCTCAAAACATTGGAATTATCCAAAGAAATGTATTTGGTGAAAGTAAATTTTAAAAATTTCATATATAAGGATGTATTTAGTTATCTGGAGTTATGAGGGGGAATTGTATTTTGCTTTTCTTTATTTCTTTAACTAAAAATTAAGGTGTCAAGACGGGCGCTGGTGGCTCACGCCTGTAATCCTAGCTACTCAAGAGGCTGAGATCTGAGGATCGCGGTTCAAAGCCAGCCCGGGCAGGAGAGACCGTGAGACTCTTATCTCCAATAACCACCAGAAAAACCAGAAGTGGCGCTGTAGCTCAAGTGGTAGAGCGCTCACCTTGAGCTAAGAGCTGAGGGACAGTGCCCAGGCCCAGAGTTCAAGCCCCACGGCCGACCAAAAAAAAAAAAAATTAAGGTGTCACTATGTAGCCAATGTGGTCTCAAACAACTGATCCTCTTGCATTAGCCTCCTGAATGCTATTTTAACTGAATATTTTTCCTTTTTGTGCTAGCACTAGGGTTTGAACTTAGGACCTCAACCTCTCAGTGTGTGTGTGTGCACGCGTGCGCACGTGAGTGTGGTTGGGGTCGGGGTTGGGTGGTTCTGGGGCTTGAACTCAAGGTCTGGACACTTTCCCTGAGCTTTTTTGCTCAAAGGTAGCCCTCTACCACTTGAGTCATACCTCTATTTCCAGTCTTTTGGGTGCTCAATTGGAGATAAAAATCTATGGCTGAGCGCCAGTGACTCATGCCTGTAATCCTAGCTACTGAGAAGGCTGAGATCTGGGGATCGTGGTTCAAAGCTAGCACACGAGACTCTTATCTTTAATAAACCACCAGAAAACCGGAAGTAGCAGTGTGGCTCAAGTAGAGGACTCACCTTGAGCTGAAGAGCTGAGGTACAGCGCCCAGGCCAAGTTCAAGCCCCATGACCAACAAAAAACTAAATCTAATGGACTTCCGTTTTTCCAGGATTTGAACGTAAATTCTTGGATCTCAGCCTCCTAAGTAGTAGCCACTGGCGTGGCATGGTACCCAGTGTCCTTTTTTGTGTTTTATTTTTTAGATATAGTCTTGTTAACTTTGCTCATACTGCCTCAGATAGTCCTGCCTCAGCTTCCTCAAATGCCCTAGGTTTTGGGCCCCAGTGCTGCAGAGAGACAATCCTTATAAGGCACCAATATATTGAATATGACTAAAGGATAGTTTCTATATGTATATAAACTATAATTATGTTTTTTTGTTTTTGTTTTTTGAGTCTGGTCGTGGAGCCTGAACTCTGGGCCTGGGCGCTGTCCCTCAGCTCTTCAGCTCAAGGCTAGCGCTCTACCACTTGAGCCACAGCGCCACTTCCGGCTTTCTTCTTAATAAACCATAATTATGGTAGTTAAAATATAAATGTATAGTTCTTTTTTTACTTGCATTTAAACATTTTTTTAAATTGCCTTAAACATGCTTGACAAGCATTATACTGTTGAGCTCTATTCCCAGCCCTCTTAACATTCTTTTCCCCTTTTAGGGCAGTAGGGTTTGAACATAAGGCCTACCACTTTTGTCAGGTTAGCCTTCTGCCACTGAGCTATGCTCCAAACTTTAGTTGTTGTAATCTACCATGCCCAACTTCTTCATTGAGATGAAGTCTAATGATCTACTCATTCTCTTCCCCAAAGTAGCTAGAATTTATAGCCATGAGCCCATAGGTGCCCAGCACCTTCTGGAATTGTTAAGTTTTATAAATTATATTCTTGTTTTAAGAAAACTATAGTTGACATAGTAAGCTTAATATACCTGATGACTTTTCAGTTGTTTTCTCCGTTTTGTGTCTTAGGTGTATTTGAAGGCTCCTATGATTCTGAATGGAGTCTGTGTTATCTGGAAAGGTTGGATTGATCTCCAGAGACTTGATGGTATGGGCTGTCTGGAGTTTGATGAGGAACGAGCTCAGGTATGGTAACTTCAGGCTGTACTGAATGTGGCTACTTTATTTAGCCTCTAATCTTGCTTAAATCTGGGGGTCTATTTTACCTAATTTTTAATAATAAGTATACATATCAGTTTTTCAAACCTGTAATCCTAACTACTTAGGAAGTCGAGATTGAGTTGATAAGGAAAATCCATGAGACTCTTATCTCCAATTAAGCAGGAAAAAGCCACAAATGGAGCTGTGACTAAAGTGGTATAGTGCTAGCCTTAAGCACAAAGGCTAAGGGACAGCACCCAAGCCCTGAGTTCAAGCCCCAGTACCCTTCACAGATATACACACACACAAAAGGAAGGGGGGAAGAAGATAAGTATAGAAAGCACTTTATTCAAGTAGTGTTGAGGAATCAGGAAAATGTTAAGAACTATCTTCTAGTCCTGATTTGGGAGAAGTTTTTTCTGCTAGTGGTTCTAAATTAATCTACAGTAGTTAAGTGGTTCACTCAGTTACCCTACCCTTCCCCCTCACTCCCCCTGTAATAACCTGTAGGGCCCCGATAATCACCAGGGCCCAATAGTCATAGTCCCCAATCTCATTTGGAAACATAAAAGTCCAGTAAATGGTTCTTCTAACATTTGTTCTTGGTCTTTAGGAACATTATTATAGAGGGTGGAGAACAACTGAAAACAAAATGTAAGAGTAGCAATTTTGTAATGTAAGAGTGAGGAGTTTTGGGGGCTCAGAAGGTGGCTCAGTGGTAGAGTGCTTGCCTTGCGTGCATGAGGCCCTGGGTTCGATTCCTCAGCACCACATAAACAGAAAAAGCCGGAAGTGGTGCTTGGCTCAAGTGGTAGAGCACTGTCCCTGAGCTGTAGAGCTGAGAGACAGCCCAGAGGTCAAGCCCCATGACTGACAAAAAAAAGAGTGAAGAGCTTTTGTATATTCTTTTCCAAAAAGAATATTCAATTGAATAAAAAAAAAACAACAGCAACCTCAAAGCCCTCATTTAAAGATTCTGGAAATTCAGAGGCATTTATTAAAAGTTACTGAACTTGTCTGTCATCCCTTCTCCAGTCTATGTTCCCTCAGATTCTACCCTGCGTGGCAGGGCAAGCCATAAGGGCTATGGGAGCTTCTTCCTTATCAGAGAGAACTGATTTTTTAGCAGACCTTGAAAAATCATGTACAGGAATGTTGAAAGCAATAGACATTTCATTGGCAGTTTGTCATTGTGGTAGAAGGCTTGCCTACCAAGTGCAGGGACCCAAGTTGAAATTCCAATACCAGCACCACCACAAAAAATAATCATTAAGGTTCAAGGGAGGTGGAAGCAGAAGTGAGTCCTAGGCCAGTCTTAAGTTACATAATAGCAAGATCTTGTCTCACATTTTAATAATAAAAATAAATTCAAAGTTCAAATTCTTTTATGGTGCTAGAGATTGAACCCTAGGTCTTTGTTCATGCTAGACACTCTACACTTGAGCTGTTCCCCAACTCTGATTTTACTTTGTTCTTAAGAGAGGCTTTTGCCACTATCTTTGCCAAAACTGGACTCAAGCTCTCTGTCATCTTGTTCCCACCTCTCAGGTAGAATTATGGATGTGCCATCACCAACATATGGTTCAAAATTTAAAATTCTAAACTAGGGTTTGAACCAAGGACCTCACACTTGCTAGTCAAGTGCTTTACCACTTGAGCCTTGCCCCCAGCCCTCTTTTGGATAGGGCCTCACATTTTTGCATGAGGCTAGTCTTAGATCCTCCTTCCCCTATTTCTCAAATATTTGGTATGATAGGCTTGTGCCATCCCATCCAGCTTCTTGGTTGAGATGGAGTTCTCATTTTTTGCCTAGGCTGAGTTTTGAACTATGATCCTCCTAAATCACTGCCTCCCAAGTAGCTGAGATTACAAGCACGAACCACCACACACCATATATACTGAAGCTACCTTTATTTGTTAAAAATTCATTTACTTTCAAAATCCGAAACAACAGAAGTGATACTGTGGCTCAAAGTGGTAGAATGCTACGCTTAAGCAAAAAAGCTCAGGGACAGCGCTCAGGCCCTGGGTTCAAGCCCTGAAACAAGCAAAAAATGTAAAACAAGGAGCCAGACACTGGTGGCTCATCCTGTAATCTTAGCTATTGAGGAGACTGAGATCTAAAGATTGCAGTTCAAAGCAAGCCTGGTCAGAAATTTCATGAAACTCATCTCTACTTAACCACCAAGAAAACCTGGAAGTGGAGTTGTGGCTCTCGTGGTAGAGTACCAGCCTTGAGCAAAAAAACCCAAATGAGTGGGAGGCCCTGAGTTCAAGTCCCAATTTTGGCACCAAGGAAAAAAAATTCAAATAAGGGCTATAGGTATAGTTCAAGTAGTAGAATGCTTAGCAAGCATGAGGCTCTGAATTCAAAACCTCAATTCTCCAGAAGAAAAATCCAAAATTGATTTGCAAGTTACTAGAAAAATTGACATATATTCTATAAGGTATTTGGATATAATACCAAGGTCCTTAAACGATCAGCTATATTTCTGTATTTTAGCAGTAAAAAGACAAATTATCTAATCCTCTGGTCCATTACGGTAATTAGCATCTGCTCTCCCTGCATGATACACTGAAGTCCTCACTCACTCCTAATAGCATTCATTACTTTTGCTCACTTTTCTGTGTGTGTGTGTGTGTATATATGTATGTGTGTGTGTGTGTATATATATATATATATATACACATATGTATATATACATATATATATATATACATACATGTATGGATTCATGCAGCATGTGCTGTTTTGTACTCCTGATACATTTGTGAAATTTATCTATATTGGTGTGTTCATTTAGTTTTTCATTCTCATTGTATTTCTTTGTTGATCAAGTACTTTATCCATTCTACTGTTAATGGCCATTTGGACAGTGTCCAGTTTCTGGCTACTACTACTTCAGATCTCTTTGAAAAAATGCCAGCTATAATACAACTCGTCTGTTTTTTTATTGGTTTATGTTTTCACTCTGTGAAAATATATTTTTACTGAATTGTAATTGTTTATATATTTTGACTAGGTACTGGGTCAGAAACTTTTCCACAAATGAAGATAACTTGATTATAATTGTAAAGCCTCAAATGCCAATAGGTTTTTTTTTTAACTGAATATATTTTGTCACTTTGTTTAATTTATAGGTATAAATTCTTTGTGTTGTGTGTATGTCAGTCCTGGGGCTAGAACTCAGGGCCTGGGTGCTGTCCCTGAGCTCTTTTGCACAAGGCCAATGCTCTGACACTGGAGTACCACTTCTGGCTTTTTTGGGAAGATAATAGAGATAAGAGTATGAAGGCCTTTCCTGCCCTGGCTGGCTGCAAACTGTGATCCTCACATCACAGCCTCCTGAGTAGCTAGGATTGTAGGCATGGGCTACTACTGCCAGCAGTGTACATTTGTTTGTCGTCTTTATATGCTTGATTTTGAAAGAAAAAGTGAGCATATTAGGCATATCACCATTGAATAATCAGATTTTTATCTAATTTCAGCAAAAATATAACTAATAAGTACTCCTTTACCAAGAAAAGTCAATGCCATCATAGAAACCAAGGTGGTTTCAGTGTAGTTCTTCGAAAACTCAAGTTTTCAAGGGCAGTCAAAGAGAATGTGTGCTATCGTGCTTTTTTTTTTTTTATTCTGTACCAGCTTTGCCACAAAAGTTTTGTTTTGTTTTGTTTTGTTTGGTCGCTCATGGGGCTTGAACTCTGGGCTTGGGCGCTGTCCCTGTGCTCTTCAGCTCAAGGCGAGCACTCTACTGCTTGAGCCACAGTACCACTTCTGGTTTTCTAATGGTTTATTGAAGATAAGAGTCTTACGGACTTTCCTGCCTTGGCTGGCTTTGAACTGCGATCCTCAGATCTCAGCCTCCTAAGTAGCTAGGGGGTTATAGGCGTGAGCCACCGGCGCCCGGCTGCCACAAAAGTTTTATAGTGAGTTACTTTTAATTGTGGCTGTACTTTATGAGTATATTTATGTTACATAAATTAAATGACTTAGCAGATTGTTTCATTTTGGGGGTACAGTTATGAATTTATATGTATACTAGAACTAGTTTTAGTAAATTTGTATAGGCTATTTGTCTAATTCAATGAATTTTTATACAGTCTGCTCCACCACAATTTGTATTTGTATATCAACATAAGAGCCAATAATTTCATCTTCATTGGCTTTTAAGTTCATTTTGTCCATCACAAAATGTCTCATCTTCATTATAATGACCTTTCAAATGTTTTAATTCTGTAATTGAGTTAGGAAATAGAACCACTGTTGGAATGAATGGATTTTCAGTTTGAAGTACCTGATGACACTGATGTAAAACAGGTATCCTTTAACAGGTGTATCCTTTAGTTGATTGTAAGGTTCTTCTCTTACGGAAGCCAACATATAAGCAACTTTGCTTTTTTTTGTATAGTTATAAATATATAAAAGGCAATTTGGAAATCATTTGATTGAAATGAACTTAGATTTGGCAAAAAGGTGGGTTAAATGTACTGTTTACAGTTACACATGTTGCCTTTGAAATATATACCAGTCTTTAATGAATTTATTTCCCTTTTTTGGTGGTACTGGATGTTGAATTCAGGGCCTTGAGCTTGCCAAGCAGATGCTTTTAACACTTGAGACATCTCTAAACCCTTATCTTTTTTTTTTCTTTTTTTTTCTTTTTTTTTTTGCCTGGGCCATGATCTTCCTGTTTATACTTCCTGACCTAGCTGAAATGACAGATATTCACCACAGTGTGAATGGTTGAAATGGGTTCTCACAAATATTTCCCCCGGCTGGCCTTGAAAATGGTATTTTTCTTTTTTCTCTCTCATTTATTGTTTTTGTTTTCTGAATTTTTATTGACAGATATACCTGGGCAAGGGGGTGGGGCAGGCAGGAATTGCTGGTGATTGAACACAGGACTTCATGTTTTCTAGGCAGGTGTTCTACCACTTGAGCTGTGCCTCTAGTCCTTCTTCATTTAGTTTTTTTTTCACCA